GAATTTACGGAAAATTAACTAACGAACGGAGACGTAACAATACCTTTCTGTTCAGTAACTACAGTTAACTTCGCACAACAAAGTTTTAATATTCAGATAAAAAATTTTATTTCCATTTACATGTATCTTAACAATTGTGTTCTATGTGTAATTTGTGCATTTGTGTTCTGCAGCACTCGTAAATGGTTATGCAATGTTCATACAGGTTTGTAAGACCACATATACACACAAATTACTATATAGAAAAACCACTATTAAAATTTCCACACATACCAGTAGCTTATAACAGACCACCTTTGAATCATGCACAAATTATGTCATTAGATGTGTCAGGTTGTCTTCTGCAAGTTACTTTTAAATAACTATGGTTTGTAATACGCTGTTAAACTCATTATATTCTATTTTCAGGCATCATAAAATAAATAATCACTGGCAGAATTAAGCTGAATGAAAACTTTTCAGCTAAAATTCTCATCAGACAGAATTAATGTTTGTGCTGTTACTACAATATTTGTATCAAAACAGATTCGAAGGTAACAACATGGAAACATTTTATACACAATTAAGTGAATCTAGAATCTAGTGAGGATCATTTAGTATGCTCTGTGGAATTTCTGCCACTCAACGAGACAAAGTTAGTGACCTTCTTGAAACATCAGATAATGGTTCACCACGAAAAATCATTCAGTAGCTCAGAAAGCAAGAATTGCAAAATCCCTTCAGTCAATGATGTTTCAACTATATGACCATTCAGATATCACCCAACATCGTAGAAATATTTCTTACTGTGAAACTCTTTGTTCAGTAGTTTGGAAAGCAAATTGTTAAACCCCTTTAGTCCCGTCAATCTCATGAGCAACAAATTGATCTACCTTATGGTGATTAAGTAGCTATCACACAATATCTGGTGGATATCTCTCAATGGAATTCTGCTCAATAGTTCAGAAATTAAGGGTCGCTACAACTTTTTAGCTGAGTTTTCAAACTTCTAGCAACTATATTTAGTTGTGCAAACTGTTCATGTACTAGATATCATATCTCCTCATTCCAGTTGTCATAACTATGGTAATTGAGTGGTAGTCATAAAATGCAGTCCATACATTTTGTTGATACCACCCAAGAGCTCAGAAATAAAGGAATGCTACTTCCTTTCCACAATTGATTTAATAATCAGTGACTGTCTTAAATCTATTTGATTGGGCTTAATCCCGATCTAATCGATTGGAACACTATTTTGGGCCCCCCAGTGGCATAGTGGTATGTCTGCGGACTTACAACGCTAGAATCCGGGTTTCGATACCAGTGGTGGGCAGAGCACAGATGGCCCATTGTGTAGCTTTGTGCTTAATTACAAACAAACACTATTTTTGGTATTTTGGCCAACAATTACAGTTTTCATTCATCTCTAGATCAGTTGCTTCCTCATTTGGTTCATAATGAACAGCCAAGTAAATACTCTTAGCTCCTTTACCCTCAACCTCTGTATCTGGGAGTGATAAAACAGAGCTTTCATGCACCTCATTGGTTTCTTCCTCTGATTTCTGGTCCAACCAATTCATGATTTATTTGTTGATAATGCATATGTATTATTCACTTTTGCGCATCTCTGTTCCGTTTATTGTTTGTGTTCACCAACTGCTACACACGATATTGTGTTATTTCATGGTTACCTGATCTAGTAAAAGCAACCATCCCATGTCTGTGAAGCAAGTATACACACACACACACACACCGTGCTTTTGAATTAATAAAGATAGTTTACTTGTATTTTACAATGTATGCAGTTTCTTTATTTCAACCTCACGAACTCAATTACACAAAGATTCAATACTTTGTAATAAGTATATTCTTAAAAACCCAGTTATTAAGCGGACCTGTACCATTGCTTTAAGGTTAACTGAATTTTACCTGTTTATTAAGTTTGCTCTTGATTTAAGAAAGTGCTACCATTCGAAAGCTCTTTTTTTTTTCAGTTTTACCCAATTATTCCAGAATAAAACAAATTCTCTACACGACACGTTGTATTTCTTCACCAACCAAACCATATAGAAAACGCATACTAGCATACTTCAGTTGCATGCGGCTCAGCGTTAATTCTGTAAGCTTATAATGCCAAAAAAAAAGGGGGGGGGGAACGTTTCAATACCCACTGTGGATATAGCGTAGACACGCACGTACGCAGGGGGGGGGGGGGTCGAGAGGGTTTGGACGAATTCCCTATTTTTGTTATTAAAAATTATGCTCATATAGTTATAACATTTAGCGCAACTCCTTTTGCTATTCAACGTTTTTGATGTTTGTGGACTTTGTGTGAATGATCATGCAATTGTTTAAGCTATATTTCATGCAAAATTGCTTCTAGATGTAATCTCATAGCACCTATTTTTTTACAAATTTTCTGGAGGAGGGGCACGCCCCCAAATGCTTTGCATGTTGATTTTGCTTCGCACAATATGTGTTGGCTTTTGATCTCACAAATTAGAACTCCCTGTTGCGTCATCGAGATCATGTGATTCTCACGCTCTCTACTTTCTAGAATTATCCTGTATTTTTGGC